GATCTAGGGAATTTTTTTTTTTTTTTGGGGGGGGGCGGCGCAAGTATCTACTTATCTAAAAACAAAGTTAATATTTTAAATAATGCTACCTAATGATAAATTAATCACGCCCTTGGTAGTAGATAAAAAATAATGTCAAACTATTAGTCCAATTAATCAATAATTATTTTTTACTTACATTTAGTTACCAATTCTCACAATTTTTACTTCCTACAATGTCCAATTTGTAAATGACTCAAATTCTCAAATAAGTAATAATCTATTAACCATAAATTCCTTTGACACTTAAATATATTTTAAATTTTAGTAAAATCGAAGAAACTATTTGATAAGCAACACTAATTTATTGCATATTCTTGATAATATCATATATTTGGAATTGTATCCTTCAATCATATAGATAAAAGCATGTAAATGTGTGAATTAGTAATTAGCAAACCATAGTAACCCTTCAAAAACACAATTTAAAAAAATATTTTAACTCAGTTTTGATAATTGTTGAGAAGTCGAGAAAGGGAAGAGGACCTCGTGGCGGCGGGTTTGGACGGTGGCCCAGGCGGTGGCGGGTCCAGGCGTGCGGCGTGCGGGTGAGGGGCTTTAGGTGGAGCTACATTTAGAGTTTTGTGGAGTTTGGAATTGGGTCTCTCGAGCTTTGTTGGGGGGAGTGGGGTTTGAGAGAGAGAGAGAGAGAGAGAGAGAGAGAGAGAGAGTTGGGCTTGAGAGAGAGAGAGAGAGAGAGAGAGAGAGAGAGAGAGTTGGGCTTGGGTTGGGTTATTAGTTTTGGGTTTTGAGAGGGATAATTCGGTTTGGGTTTGAGTTTGGGTTATTAGTTTTGGGTTTTGGTTCTGATTCTTTTGAACTATTGGGTTTGTTGTATTTTACTTTGGACTTTTATTCTTTGGGCCTCTTTCTTGCTTGGGTGGAAATTCAAATAGTATTCAACAAATCACAACAAAGTGTTTTAATTTTTGGTTAGGGTGCAATTTTCTTTTTCTTTTTTGGGGGCGGAGGTAGACTGGAAAATCTACATTGGGTTAAATAAAAACTTGAAAAATTCTAGGGGTGCAATTGCACCCTTAGGGTAAACGTAGGTTCGCCCCTACCACCTGTGCGCTTTTATGGGTATGAGATGTTCTATGGACTTGCTGTGTTGCCCCAATACTAGCTCTTTTCAATTTGTGTGTTCCCAGATATCTGTCGCCTCCGATCTCTATGTACTCATTTAAAACAAGATCATGGACCAAACAGAAAAGCATTTGTGCATCCTCGAAGAGGGTAAACGTAGGTCCGCCCTGCCTACCACATGTGCGCTTTTATGGGTATGAGATGTTCTATGGACTTGTTGTGTTGCCCCAATACTAGCTCTTTTTAATTTGTGTGTTCCCAGATATCTGTCGCCTCCGATCTCTATGTACTCATTTAAAACAAGATCATGGACCAAACAGAAAAGCATTTGTGCATCCTCAAAGAGAACTAAGCTCGAGTGGACCTACAATCTTGGCAGGCTCATTGTTTTATCTCAAGGACAGCTTCACCCTTGCTTTTGATTTGGAGTCGAGACTACCACGAGTGATGGTGGCAGATCTACAAAATTTTTCTCGGTGGGAGGGGGTGCAGACAACAAGCTTCTATTAAAAAATAAAAAATATTATAAAATAATGGTATTTGATGATAAATTGATAATGCTCTCAGTAGTCGATAAAAAATAATATCAAACTATTATTCCAATTAATCAATAATTATTTTTTACTTGCATATAGTTACCAATTCTCACAATTTTTACTTTCTACCAGTGTAGAAAATAGCGCGTTTCGTAGCGCAAAATAGCGCTTAACGTAACGTAGCGTTAACCTAACGCTACATAGCGTTTTCAAATAGCGCACGAACAAAATAACGTGCGCTATTTTAGCCATAGCGTAAGCTACGTAACGTAGCGTCGTGGCGTTTTGTAACGTAGGTTATTTTGTTTAATAGCTTGGATTGCTTTTAAAATAATTCAACGGCTGTGATTGACTCTCCCACTTCTCATAAGTTATTAAATTCTAACAAAACCCTAACTCTTGCTATCATCGTCGTCTCCCGCCGCCCCTTTCGACATCGTCGTCCTCTCCCGCCATTCAACTTCTGAAATTGGCAAGGTAAATACATAATACAATCTTGAATACTGATAATCAGACTATGTTTCACGCTTAAAGCCATAAAAATTAATATGTGTGGAAGGGTGAGCTTGACTTGTTCCCTGAAGTTGCCATTGTTTTACTCTTTAACATGATTAGCTTGAGAAATTTGATCTATTTGGCTGGAACACACGATGTTAGGTTTCGGTTAGTTATTGATCTATCGTCGAATTTCGCCTTTGGATTGATCGTTAAGGCAAACACGGTTGATTTTGTTGTGAAATTGTGATCATATATTGATTTGTGAAATTAAGAATTGCGATGATTATTCATATTTTTTACTTTGAATGTTATATATTTATAAATTATTTAAATAATAATAAATTATTTAACCTACGTTACGCTATGCGTTATCGCTATTGTAACCTAACCGGAGGTAAGCGTTACGCTATGCGTTATCGCTATTTTCAACATTGCTTTCTACAATGTCCAATTTTTATATGACTCAAATTCTCAAATAAATAATAATCCATTAACCATAAAGTCCTTTTACACTTTAATATTAAAATTGAAGAAACTATTTGGTAAACAAAACTAATTTATTGCATATTCTTGATAATATTAAAATTTTGAATTGCATCCTTAAATCATAGATAAAAGCATGTAAATGTGTAAATTAGTAATTAAACAAACCATAGTAACCCTTGAAAACACAATTCCAAAGAAAATTTTTAACTCACTTTTGATAATTGTTGAGTAGTTGAGAAAGGGAAGAGGACCTCACGGCGGTGGGTCTGGATGGTGGTCAGGGCAACGACGGGTCCGGGCGGGGCTCGGTAGGTGGGGGGTTTTTTTTTTTGGGGGGGGTGGGGGTGGGGTGGGGTTGATGGTATGGATATCGGTTTGGGTTGTCAGTTTTGGCTTTTGGTTTTGAACTATTGGGTTTGTTATATTTTACTTTGAACTTTTATTCTTTGGGCCTATTTGTTGCTTGAGTGGAAATTCAAATGGGCTTTAACAAATCACAGCATAGTTTTTTAATTTTGGGCTGGGGTGCAATTTCATTTTTCTTTGTGCAACTACACCCCTGGGGCAAACATGATCCGCCCCTGGCACCATGCTTCTTTTCTTTTTATCTTCAAGCCTAACCTTTGAAAGTAGATATTGATTGGTGGAGAAAACATTGATAACCAAATATATATTGTTTCACTTTTTTATGTTGTTTGTATTAAAGCTTAACGCAGATGAGTAAGAGAGAAATAGTGCGTGCTTTCAAATGACAAATACAAAGATGCTGAACTGTTCCTAATAGTTTGAGGGATCTTAGATGCTCAGTTCTCTGGGATTGCTTTGCCGGTTCTCTCAAGAGTCAAGGACCTACGTATATATTATTTTATCTTAATGGTGGCTGCTATTGTGCTTTGTTATTCTCTCTGGATCCATTCTTCTTTCAAGATAATAGAAAAACAAGGAACATACCCAATGAAATAATAGTTTCACTTATGGCTTGAGAAATGATGCCACTCCAATTTTACTTAATTATTTCATTCAGATTGAGTTGTAGAATCTTTTGTCAGGAAACATTATGAATTTTTCTAGACTTAGATCTTTCTACAAATCTTTTTATATATCCAATAATGCATGTTTTTACATATATAAATTCCATCTAATTAAATACTTGCTATTAACCAGGTAAGATCTGCTACCCTAGACACATGGCTCCCGGACCAAGTTGCATTTATTCAAAGTAAGTTGACATTTTCTTCTTGTTCGTGTTTCTTCTTTTTCCTTTTGCTTGAACTGTCTTTGTTTATCAAACTAGTTTAAACGGTTTTTCACGTAAAGTATCTTTAAATTGTCTCTCATCCTTGTCGCACTGTTTGCAGCAATGGGAAATGAAAAATCAAATAGCTATTGGGAAGCAGAACTGCCACCGAATTATGACAGAGTTGGGATTGAGAATTTCATTCGGGCCAAGTACGGATCCTTACTTTCATGGATTTCACTTTTATTCTCTTAGTATTCTTAAAGATATCTTGAAACTACAACGTAGTTGCTGCTTGGTTAAACCCAGTAAAATGAAATTGCCAGATACGAAGACAAAAGGTGGACACCCAGAAAAACACCATCAGGGACGCCTTCAAAATTAGCAGAAGAGAGGGCTTATGAGCACAAACAGAGGTCTACTGATAGAATAGGACATACACGTACCACCAGCACAGGGTCTTCTGAAGAGCATAACAAACTTCAACCCCCTATACTGAAGAAGGTTATATCAGTGGCTCCTAAGGTATCCAACTTGGAAATCTGAATCTGTTCATTTTAAAAGTTTTCTTTTGGTGAAATTATGCTATATTTTAGATTTATTAATTTCCCATAAATAATCCTCCCCTTTTGCTTCCTTCACCTTGATGCACATACATTGAGAAAATAAAATTTCCTTAAATTACATATGTCGAGATCTTTCAGCTGACAATTTTTTTGCTTAAATAGCTTTAGTCTTAATAGATTTTAAACAGGTGGTGAAAAGATTACTAGATAGCTTCTAAAGCAGTTTAAACTTGAGGTATACACTGTCTGGTGAGTTCCTTATCTGGTTATGCTTTTCCCTTGTCTAATCACATCTAAGAAGACTGCAGTCAGCTAGTCATATCTGAGCAGAGGTATGCTGAAGCTTAGTCAAACCAACAGCTGTTTACTTTTAGGCCCCCTCATTTCCAACATAACCTGTCAACAATGTTGAAATCAACTTCTAAATTGAAACCAATCAAATTCTGATGCTTAACCTAAAGAAAGCTATTTCAACCTGTTCCTATATCCATTAATGTATTGTGTATTATGCTGCTATTGTAAATACTTCAATATTTGACGAAGAGGTTCTGGCTTGAAGGACTAACTTTAAGAGGGACCAATGTAGTGGCGGAGCCACATTGATCCAAGTGTAGGTAAATGCCCCCACTGAATTATTTTTT